AATCAATGATAGGTTAGGGCTCAACCACGTGATGTTCTGTAATCAATGATAGGTTAGGGCTCAACCACTTGATGTTCTGTAATCAATGATAGGTAAGGGCTCAACCACCTGATGTTCTGTAATCAGTGATAGGTTAGGGCTCAACCACCTGATGTTCTGTAATCAAGGATAGGTTAGGGCTCAACCACGTGATGTTCTGTAATAAATAATAGGTAAGGGCTCAACCACGTGATGTTCTGTAACCAATGATAGGTAAGGGCTCAACCACGTGATGTTCTGTAATCAGTGATAGGTAAGGGGTCAACCACGTGATGCTCTGTAATCAATGATAGGTAAGGGCTCAACCACGTGATGTTCTGTAATCAATGATAGGTAAGGGCTCAACCACGTGATGTTCTGTAATCAATGATAGGTAAGGGCTCAACCAAATGTTGAACTCGCTCTATGTGAACTTTCTTAATTACGGGCTCCTTCTTTCACAGAATAAATTGTTTGTCTCACAGCAGTGACAGAATAAAATGGCCCTCACGAAAACATTTAAATAAAGGGTTTCATTCATCTCGGTTTCACAGTAAAGTACGGGCATAGCTCAACAAAGGCACGACCAAGAGGATGTAATGAACACATCTATAAGTTTCTTGACCGTTCTATAACTGTTATATTTACATCAAATAAACCTGCTTATGACATTATGAAACATACACGACCGGACAGCTTTGATTCAGGATGTGAGAAATAGTGGCATAACGCAAGTACATTGAAGACAATCAGATCAAAGATATCAACAGTGTGAGCGCTGTCCTCTCGTTGAATGCCACCAGATATCGACTACAGGGTTACTTGGTTGTATAAGGGGGCACGGGTGACCCAGTCGTCTAAGGCGGCGCGATTCGCTGTGCAGAGTTGCGTCCCTTGGGCACGCCAGAAACCTATGATTGTGGGTTCGAATCCCGGTTCGCCCCGATTATGTTTCTAGGTTTGTCAGCACCATACCCATGCTCGTGGGTTTCACCGAAGTGGTAAACGTCTGAGACCTGCATCAATTCGGGCTTTCCTCCCACATTAAGCTGACACGCCGTGATATAACTGGAATACTGTTAAAAGCGGCGTCAAGCCCAACTCACTCACTCACTGATTGTATAAAACATATATGTTAGCCTGGGAAATATGTAAACACCATTGGAAATGCAAAGCAAGTGTCCATGAATATGTATCTACGACTGATATGATTAAACGTGTATTATTTTATGATTATGAAAAGTTTTTGTCGCTTTTTAATACATAAAATTGATAAAATATAAAATAAACTTTATCACATTTAGCAAATGATTTCTCTTTTCGTATGGTTCAGGGTTTGATTATTTAAAGGTTGTTGTTTGCAGAGCTATTCACAACAGCGACAAACGTTTCATCCTCACCATCATGCATTGCATTTGATGGCTTTATTCTGACGCAATTCACAACGCATATACATAAGCAGATTCAGCTGTGGGCCTATGATGTCGAAATACCACGGAAAGGGTGTAGTACCGTGTGTTGCAAGCATCTGATTTGGATTTGTGAGTTATTCTCGGAGAAGTATAGGAATACTGCGTTATAGTTGTTTTTCATCAGTAATGATAGTGGTAGTAGTAGTAGTAGTAGAAGTGGCAGTAGTAGTAGTTGTTGTTGCAGAAGCAGCAGTAGTAGTGGTATTTGTAGTAGTAGTAGCGGTTGTAGCAGTAGTAGTACTGGTTGTAGCGGCAGTGTTAGTAGTAGTGGGTGATAGCTGTAGTAGTGGTAGTGGTAGTAATAGTAGCAGTGGCAGTAGTAGTAGTGGTTATAGCAGCAGTAGTAGTAGTGGTAGTTGTAGTAGTGGCAGTATTAGTGGTTTTAGCAGTAGTTGTTGTAGCAGTGGTAGGTGTGGTAGTAGTGGTGGTGGTAGTAGTAGTAGTAGTAGTCGCAGTGACAGATGTAGTAGTGGTTGTAGCAGCAGTAGTAGTAGTGGTAGTTGTAGTAGTGGTAGTAGTTGTACTAGTAGTAGTAGTGACAGAAATAGTAGTGGTTGTAGCAGTAGTAGTTGTAGTGGTAGTAGTGGTAGTAGTAGTAGTAGTAGTAGTAGTAGAAGTAGTAGAAGTGACAGTAGTAGTAGTGGTTGTAGCAGCAGCAGTAGTAGTAGTAGTAGTAGTAGTTGTTGTAGCAGCAGCAGTAGTAGTAGTAGAAGTAGTAGTAGTAGTAGTAGTAGAAGAAGAAGTGACAGTTGTAGTAGTGGTTGTAGCAGTAGTTGTAGTAGCAGTGGTAGTTGTAGTAGTAATGGTGGTAGTAGTAGTAGTAGTAGTAGTGGCAGTGACAGATGGAGTAGTGGTTTTAGCAGCAGCAGCAGCAGTAGTAGTAGTAGTAGTAGTGGTAGTAGTGGTAATAGTAGTAGTAGTAGTAGTAGTAGTAGTAGTGGTAGCGGTAGTAGTAGTTGTAATAGTAGTAGTAGTTGTAGTAGTAGTAGTAGTAGTAGTAGTAGTAGTAGAAGTGACAGTAGTACCAGTGGTTGTAGCAGAAGCAGTAGTAGCAGTGGTAGTTGTAGTAGTAGTAGCGGTTGTAGCAGTAGTGGTAGTGGTTGTAGCGGCAGTAGTAGTAGTAGTAGTAGTAGTGGTGGTTGTTGTAGTAGTGGTAGTGGTAGTAGTAGCGGCAGTGGCAGTAGTAGTAGTGGTTGTAGCAGCAGTATCAGTAGTAGTAGTGGTAGTTGTAATAGTAGTAGTGGTGGTAGTAGTAGTGGTACCATAGTACTTGATCATAAACGTCTCAGTGCTCTCTTAACAATCCAGATCCAGTGGAATTAATAATTGGGGAAGTAGGGTAATTATTTCTTGCATACTAAACCAAAATGGAAATGACACCGATGAACCTGACTGGACAGAGGTCCATTCCTCGGCTGAGCGCTACCAATAAGTGAGGTGAGCTGAAATGGGGTTTAACGTCGCGTTAAAGATTTTTTCACTTTTATAGAGCACAGGGTGTGCGGCTCCTTTTGCTCAGTCCTGACTAATGCCGGTTTTAATGCCTCCGCATTAACGAGGTCTCAACACAACGAGCTTTCATTGTATACATTCTAATAATGTCATGCACGGAAACATAAGTCCTTTCCGGGTTAATGTTGCATCTTGTAACGATTGTTAACCAATTGTCTTCGTTGCATGCAATTATGGTGTTAATGTGTTCACATGACAGAGTAGAGCAGAGATAAATCCATCCATTGTCTTCACAGCGAAGTCTTATAGTCAATCACATACCTCCCCAGTGTTAGCCTCACTTTGCCACAGATGCTTGTGATATAGTCGGATGGACTCTGCTTTTTAGATTTCTTATGATGATGCAATTAAGTTTTGTGGCTTTTATGTATACATTCCAAGACCAATCTAGTTGTTATATTTCGAAAAACATTTCTCAAAGCGTTGAAGATTTGAAGAGTGCAGGTTCAAGTAGTCGGATTCGAACAAGGATTTTACCAGATTTTCTTATGATAATGGAAAGTGGGTTGCAATATTTACATGATTGACGATGTGCTCAAACCATTTCTAGAAATGTTCATTAATTTTAGGAAACAGATTAAGGCATTTCAAATGTTGACGTGTAGTTAACACAGGTTAGAGTGAAGGTTGTTTTATGTTTTATTTCACATTGTACAGCATTTCAAATGTTGACGTGTAGTTAACACAGGTTAGAGTGAAGGTTGTTTTATGTTTTATTTCACATTGTACAGCATTTTAAAAGGAGAAGAAGGCTTAAACACTCTGACAGCAATACGCACTGAACCTGCACCCAGTTACCTTGGTCTGTCGTGAAGGGAGGTTTGTTGTGTACACCATCAGATCAATCAGGCCGTAAAAAACATGGTGTCTATAAATGGTAATTATTATCAATACGTTGATATGATCAAGTTACCTTTGGCTGTGGGCAAACATTGCTTCTACACACGACACGACCCTCGTCGCCTTCAGGAACAGCTGCACACCACCAATTCACGGACAAGGAGTGTAACATTGGCTAATTGTGTAAATTACTAACACGTTGGTAACCCTACTCTAACAGGATTAATATACTATATTCTGGCGTGCACCTACATTAGGTAAGGTCTCTCTTCTTTCATTCTCATCCCGGTTACTGTATATTTCCGGACAAGGTAATTCTAAGACATTACTTTTGTTTACAAAGTGGCATACGACCTACTGAAACCTAAATATATTATCTGGTGACATTGTTTTCACAGCTATAAGTATTTCATTACGCTGTCGATTGCCTCCTCTGCTCCTGAAGGCAATCTCGACAACTTCTTGTATCAACTCTTCAGCAGGTATCGGTGTGTTGTAAACAACAACATGAGATGAAGGAATTAGTAGATGCTGCCAAATGGTGTATGGAAGTTCACGATATAGTTGTTTGTTAACGCCGCACTGAGCACTATTCCAGCTATATGACGGGGGTCCGTTAATAACTTGGTCTGAACCAAACAATCCCGTGATTGACGTATCATTAGCACGAATCTAAGCAACTGGGATACGATGACATGCATCAACCAAGTCAGCGAGCCTGACCACCCGACCCTGTTGTTGACTACGACAAGCATGGGTTGCTGAAGACCAATTAGAACCCGGATGTTCAAGGTGATTGTATATAAGCAATTAAAGCAGAGATGGTGCTTAACCTTTTTTAAAGACTAACAACATATTGCAATGATAGTCTGAGACAAGGTATTTTAAATGAAGAGATGACGTATTTGACGATAACAGCTTCAACAAACACGACCTGTTCTTTAAACGCTCTCGTTTAAAACAGATTCAGCAACGATAGTGTACAGTGTTCTATTTACATTTAGCGCTTTTTAAGACAGATGGGTCAGCTTCGGTGTATAACGATAACATCCGACTCGAATAGCTTGAGTTGTATGAATTAACGATAACAAAGTGAAAAAGAGTGGAATTCACATTAACGTGTTAAGTGTGGAAATAAATAACGACGGAACAGCGGCAGTCAGTGGCACTTTCTTTTATATGAATAACAATTAGCATAATATACATCTTACTGTAATATTACTGCAAATGTATAACAAATAGACAACGTCAATTCGAAAAATAAAACGTACAAAATTTTGACAACTATGAGCTTCATTCATATATATATATATGTATTCATTAATATATATACCATGATTAGAGATTTACTCATGTATAGTGAAAGACATACAAACCAGTACTGGTGAAACAGCTATCACAATAGAGAGTCTCTGGACCACAGTGTATACCAGTGAGATATGCAGTGCCATCACCGTATCACCGGAATAGCGTTCCCATGTAAAAATACATTGCGAGTGTCACCATTGTACACCTATAAAACACACACATGACGTGTAAGGAGTTTGCTGTGGCAGTGTTGTAAGCTCACAACATGTACAGATGATTGGTGTAGAACAAGAATCACGTGGGATCTACGGATCACAGTCCGGGACATCATGACAAAGGTGATACATACTTGAGACATCGTTAATCACAGTTTATCACCAGGTAAGCATTATTAAATAACAAATTTGTTCTCTTTGGAATACATATAGTCAACCTTCCATACACGTCACAGCATTCAGGCCATGTCTTTGGTTGCACTATTCTCGCACCGCTGGAAAGAATCCATTGTCGCGAACACCATCCGAGTCCATGCCTTGCTGAAGGTTCCAGTATAGCAAAGCTTCTTTCAGCCTGTACTTCCTCGTTTTAGGGCAGAAAAACCATTGTCTGAGCACCTTCCTGAACTCTGCATTAAGAAGTCCGTATAAGAAAGGGTTGATAGCCGAGTTGGCCATGAGCACCCAAAATGCAACTGTTCGAACCCAGGACGCTAGACACGTATCGCACTTGGCATATACAACACTGCTCACCATATAGGGGGTCCAGCACAACGTGAACACAAGCACCAACATGCCCAAGGAACATGCCGCTTTTTTGTCCTGTTTCACGAGAAGGTCCCTCACAAGGTCGTCACTCTGCTTCCTGATGATGGAGCTACTCCTTAGTCCGGTTCCACACATGGAGGATTTCCTGATGGCACTGGGTCTGTAGGCTGTCTGACCCATCAGGGTGTCGAAGGACACACGTCGTTTTACGCTCATCCTCGAGTACTGAGCGGGTGCAGATGATGCTCTGGGAGGTGTCAGGTAGTTTGCAAGGCTGTGACGCCTGGTCGAGTTCATGATTAGTGACGTGCGTCTAATATCAAGTCGAGAGAAACTGTTAGGAAACAGATCTGCACTTTCGTCAGATGGGTTAGTAGTACAGTCAGATTCAGATGAAGATTTTCGATATGTGAGAATGAATGTGTCTGATGCACTAAGAGATCGTCGGATTTTCATACTTTTCCGCCTGCTGATTTTAAAATAAATGCTACAGTTAAGTCCCCACAACACCATTAATGGGAACAGGTATTCAACAGCCGAGGCAGTGAGTGTAAAAGCAAAGTCTCTCCTGTAAGGTACATCACAAATATATGACGCTGAAGATGTTGAATTTGGTTCAATGTCTGCTATAAGTTCCCAGAGCACTATGGGTGGAATGTGTAACGCCAGGCTGAGGAACCAGCACAGGCAGACAATACCAAGAGCCAGCCTCCGGCTTTGTCGAACTCGGTAGGAGAATGGGTAGTGGATGGACCACCATCGATCAATGCTGATAAGGAGAATACTAAGTAGGGATACGTACAATAAGGAATGGCGAAAAGTAAGACTCAGTTTACAAGCGCAGCCCACAAGGGCCCAGTTTGGATTCAGATCTTGAAGCATCGCGATTGACATGGTGCACCCGATTAAAAAATCCGCCATAGCAAGGCTAGCAATGTATATATTTTTACACTTTCGCAACACTCGCGTTAAGATGAACATCAACAGAACGGTTCCGTTGGCCATCAACGTCATGAACGTCACTGACACCATCGGAATGGAGAGTCCCCAGATGACGTAGAAGCTCCACACAGGTTTTGAGTGTTCAGCATTGAACAGGTGCGTGTCTGTCTCATTTACCATTGCTGCTCTAGTCGTCACGTCCATGCAACAACTGGGCACTCGAGCTACCATTTATAAGCAGAGATGGTTAATCCAATTACATCGCCTCACCCACATTCATCACGGAGACACTTCTTTAAATCCAATTACAAGGTATTCGCTGAAATCTATACACCCGTCATACTGTGAAGGTTTAGGCGGACGGGCCGGTTTGGATGATTCCAGCAGCATTACTCTCCTGCACTCCCGCTGGAGAACAGTTAGATAATACTCGCCCTTGCTTTATACACGGAAAATGATATTCCTTAATTGCTTAAATCCCTTTAAGACGTCTCGAATTCCACGTGTTGTGCAAGCGTTATGCATTTGAAAACACTCTCGACGCTTCTCACCTCCAGTGTGTCATGTTCGTAAACACTGATTCCAAACAGGAAGACAGCGGGTGGATATTTAAGTCTGAAATTTGACGCAATCACCACACCTGATCAGAGGTTATCGCAAAAGCATATGGCATAAACACTTTTGATGACAGGCTCCCGCTGGTAACAGAAGGCGTTTATATTGTCTGGACGTTGGGCTGTAAAACCTAATAGAATAGTCCCTTTGCTGGAACTAAGCTCAACGAAAGGCTTATCTGCCAAATGTCAAATATATATATCAATGTTGTCTATTCACAGCTTGGCCAAGCACAGGACACTGTCTGTTTTCTCCGTATGAGCCGCCTCCTCACAGCTAGCATATCTCCTCACGCCAGTGTAAACAAACATTAAATTAATCAGTAGAAAATCTCTCACAAGTTGTCTTCACTTTGATCACCAAAGACGTCTTCCTTGTTATAACTCCTCATGTAGAAATAAGTTCTGATGGTACCCCAACTGCTCCAATTGCACGTTTTAAGCAGCTAATAGCTTATAGCGTATACATCCCCTCACAAGTAATGCCTTTGCCAGTTGGTGATCAGCTGGTGAGGAATGCTGCTAGCCGCAGTGAGTATTCCAGCGTTGTGAGTAGAGAGTTGGAGCGGCCGCACATACCTTCCCCGATCAATACGGCACACCACTGCTGCCTGTAGGTTGGGCACGATGCTACTGAAACCGAGGCATGGATACAGTGGCAGTCGCTGATGGTCTTCGCGCAACCTGCCCGGCTGTCAGTGCCAGCTCAAGATATACTCTCGCCGTGAGACAGCGTAGGCCTTTCTCATTGTCCAAGCCAACAGCTTCCAATTAACTGTTGTTACATTTAGATAATATATTCCTCTGAACATTTGTTATGTGGGTTTATACCAAGCGGAAATTATTGTGGAAGTAAGGAATGGGTGATTTTTTTTATATTTAGAGTGAAGTAGCGATCAATGTTTGTATAGACCAACGACCTGAATGCTAATATATCAATATCTAATGTTCACTGTAATATTATGCTTGTGTGTTTCACGCGTTGAAAATAATATCATGACTTTATTATGAGGGAGTCAGTGAAGGGTTTTAATATTCCGACTATTAGTTCGAACATGATCATGGGCTACACGTGTTTAGGAAATCACAACCGGGTTTTCGGGGTGACGAAAAACCCCACTTTATTTAGAGTGAGTGAGTGAGTTTGATTTTACGCCGCTTTTAGCAATATTCCAGCAATAACACGGCGGGGGACACCAGAAATAGGCTTCACACATTGTACCCATGTCGGGAATCGAACCCGGGTCTTCGGCGTGACGAGCGAAAGCTTTAACCACTAGACCACTTTATCTAGAACGCTACCTGTCGGGTTGGGTTCATGATAAACAACACAACCATCAATAAATATAAATGTAGACACTGCTTCCGACACAATATACCAGGCAAATCAACACGAGTCAGCCACCCGCAAAATAATCGGGGGCTGCATTAATGTGCAACTAGTGCAAAATAACTACTTCCCTGTATCGATCTTAAAACCACGTTTTCTAAAAAAACATTCCTGGATGTAGAATCACTTCTTGTCAGTTTGGTCATGCATGGATATTAGCTTGTCTGAGAGGAGGATTGACCATACGGACATTGCCTTCAAAACAGCCATTGCATTACGTGTCACAACAATTTCCTTTATATCCCAACATGGGTATAATGTTGTTACTTGACATGTTTACAGGCTATGATTGATCTCCTTTGGGATTATCAAAAATGCAGATACATGGTTCTTCTGTTATGATCATGTCCGTCTGATCGATTGCTTATCTCCTTCACGAGGGATTGAGGTCGGGGTATGGTCGCATATGTGGCATAATCGTCTCCGGCGCCAAATGCTCTGTGTAGAGTTGTGTCCCTTAAGCGAGACAGAAAATAATGTTCGTGTGTTCGAATCCTGGACTCGCCCTCATTATGTTTCTTGGTTTGTGAGCACCATACCTTATCGCAGTCAGCTGTCGTTCTTTGGTCGAACTGGCCATTGGTGTGACATCACACCCAACCATCTGGAACGACGATCGCGCTTTTAGTCAAGGCTATGACTAATCCCGATCAGTGTGAAAGATCTGGACATAACTACTCCATACTAGACATGCAGCCATGCTCTTGATCATGTGTTGTCGCCAAGTTTTGTATTTGTCACAGAATGTTTTTTTCCAACCTTCCAACAGACTTTACAGACGTAAATAGTAGTAGTAGGTTCAAGACATGTTGATCGAAGTGTAAAGTATTTCATGGTTAGATCTGGCATTAGCGTGAGGTGGCTATCATTCAAAAAGTTCATTCTAACGAATGACCTTACGGCGATTTATTTGACATGGTATTTGACTTTGTATTTCCCCTTTCATATCCGGGCATACCAATCTTCCTGCAAAAGAAATACGATGTGTGTACGGCGCTCACCTTTAAATTTCAATAAATGATAAGTAAATAATCAGACAATAGACAATGGGGCTACATATGCCAGTTATTTAGTGTGCTATGGCGAAACAATTAAAAAAATATGAAATATATAATTATGTGTGTATGTCTAGTTGTGTGATGTCCATGGTTGTCTGGTTATGTGGTGTTTGTGTGTGTCTATTTGTGTGGTGTCTGTATGTCTAGTTGTGTGGTATGGTGTCTGTGTGTGTCTAGTTGTGTGGTGTCTGTGTGTGTCTAGTTGTGTGGTGTTTGTGTGTCTAGGTGTGTGTTGTCTGTGTGTAGTGGTGTCTTTGTGTGTCTAGTTGTGTGGTGTCTGTGTGTCTAGTTGTGTGTAGTGGGGTCTTTGTGTATCTAGTTGTGTGGTGTCTGTGTGTCTAGTTGTGTATAGTGGGGTCTGTGTGTCTAGTTGTGTGTAGTGGTGTCTGCGTGTGTCTAGGTGTGTGTTGTCTGTGTGTAGTGGTGTCTTTGTGTGTCTAGTTGTGTGGTGTCTGTGTGTCTAGTTGTATGTAGTGGTGTCTGTGTGTGTCTAGTTGTGTGGTGTATGTGTATGTAGTTGTGTGGAGTGGTGTTTGTGTGTGTCTAGTTGTGTGGTGTCCGGTTGTGCCTAGTTGTAAGGAATATGTGTGTGACCAGTTTTCTGTATGTGACACTATGTGGTGTATGTTCGGTTGTCGTCCTTATGTGATGTGATGTCCACATATAACACGTTGTGTGTGTGTCGATGTGACACATTGTGTAGTGTCTGTGGGACAGGTTGTGAGTCTACATATCAGTCAGTGTGTGATTGAGTGAGTGAGCTTTTTACGTCGCTTTTAGCAATATTCCAACAATATCACGGCGGAGGACACCAGAAATTGGCTTCATTGTACCCATGGGTCTTCGACGTGACGAGCGAACGCTTTAACCAACAGGCTACCCTATTGTCCCGTCTACATATGTATGACTAGTAGTAGGATGTGTGTGACTAGTCGCGCGGTGTAGAGCCTGTCTGACCTGAGGTGAGTCCGTGTATTTCTTTATATTCAACTGTTTATGTGTGCTGTACCAAAGCATGGCCTGTCCGCTCTTCTGACAGTCTGGTTAGAGTTTGCCTGGGTTCATAAGCGTGCAGCAACGTATCAATAATTGTTAATGAACATTCCCTAAAGAATATGCAACCGATTTGTGTTTCAAAGGTTATGTGTCCGTCTCTGTTTGTCAAGGTGATTGTTTAGGTATTATAATTTTATGTCCCGGTGTCTGTCTGCTTCTGTCTCAGCTTGTCCGTCATTGTTTTACCCTTGGGGAAAATGGAACGAAACAATTTATTTATGCTGGTTAAGTTTCTGGCTTCTGTTGCATGTTTTGTCGGGCTGTGTCTGTGACATGTGCGGGTTTACCATGTCTCTCCGTGTCTGTACTGTGTCTGTGCGTATGTCATTATCTGTCTCTCCGTGTCTGTACTGTGTCTGTGCCTATGTCATTAGCTGTCTCTCTGTGTGTCTGTATCTATATAGCCTGTCAGTCTACGTCAGGTACTGCCTTCCTGTGTCTGTGTATCTGTAGCCTATCACACATGTCGGTCGTTATTTTAGCCTGTCGGTGTACCCGTACCTTGTCAGGCTGTCCTGCATTTGTCCGCCCGCCCTCTGTCCATTTTATTCGTGTGCCCGCCCACCCTCTGTCCCTTGTATGTGGTGTGCCTGTCCCCTGTCCCTGTGTTTGGTGTGCCTGTCACCTGTCCCTGTGTTTGGTGTGCCTGTCCCCTGTCCCTGTGTTTGGTGTGCCCGCCCGCTGTCCTTGTATGTGGTGTGCCTGTCCCCTGTCCTTGTGTTTGGTGTGCCTGTCCCCTGTCCCTGTGTTTGGTGTGCCCGCCCGCTGTCCTTGTATGTGGTGTGCCTGTCCCCTGTCCCTGTGTTTGGTGTGCCTGTCCTCGTCCCTGTGTTTGGTGTGCCTGTCCTCTGTCCCTGTGTTTGGTGCGCCCGCCCGCTGTCCCTGTGTTTGGTGTGCCTGTCCCCTGCCCCTGTGTTTGGTGTGCCCGCCCGCTGTCCTTGTATGTGGTCTGCCTGTCCCCTGTCCCTGTGTTTGGTGTGCCCGCCAATCCTCTGTCCCTTGTATGTGGTGTGCCTGTCCCCTGTCTCTGTGTTTGGTGTGCCTGTCCCCTGTCCCTGTGTTTGGTGTGCCTGTCCCCTGTCCCTGTGTTTGGTGTGCCCGCCCGCTGTCCTTGTATGTGGTGTGCCTGTCCCCTGTCCTTGTGTTTGGTGTACCTGTCCCCTGTCCTTGTGTTTGGTGTGCCTGTCCCCTGTCCCTGTGTTTGGTGTACCTGTCCCCTGTCCTTGTATGTGGTGTGCCTGCCCCCTGTCCTTGTGTTTGGTGTGCCTGTCCCCTGTCCCTGTGTTTGGTGTGTCTGTCCCCTGTCCCTGTGTTTGGTGTGCCTGCCCCCTGTCCTTGTGTTTGGTGTACCTGTCCCCTGTCCTTGTATGTGGTGTGCCCGCCCGCTGCCCTTGTATGTGGTGTGCCTGTCCCCTGTCCTTGTGTTTGGTGTGCCTGTCCCCTGTCCCTGTGTTTGGTGTGCCTGCCCCCTGTCCTTGTGTTTGGTGTACCTGTCCCCTGTCCCTGTGTTTGGTGTGCCTGTCCCCTGTCCCTGTGTTTGGTGTGCCTGTCCTCTGTCCCTGTGTTTGGTGTGCCCGCCCGCTGTCCCTGTGTTTGGTGTGCCTGTCCCCTGTCCCTGTGTTTGGTGTGCCCGCCCGCTGTCCTTGTATGTGGTGTGCCTGTCCCCTGTCCTTGTGTTTGGTGTGCCTGTCCCCTGTCCCTGTGTTTGGTGTGCCCGCCCGCTGTCCTTGTATGTGGTCTGCCTGTCCCCTGTCCCTGTGTTTGGTGTACCTGTCCCCTGTCCTTGTATGTGGTGTGCCTGCCCCCTGTCCTTGTATGTGGTGTGCCTGTCCCCTGTCCCTGTGTTTGGTGTGCCTGTCCCCTGTCCCTGTGTTTGGTGTGCCTGCCCCCTGTCCTTGTGTTTGGTGTACCTGTCCCCTGTCCCTGTGTTTGGTGTGCCTGTCCCCTGTCCCTGTGTTTGGTGTGCCTGTTCCCTGTCCCTGTGTTTGGTGTGCCCGCCCGCTGTCCTTGTATGTGGTCTGCCTGTCCCCTGTCCCTGTGTTTGGTGTACCTGTCCCCTGTCCTTGTATGTGGTGTGCCTGTCTGCCATCCTCATGTTTGGTGTGTCCGTCCGCTGTCTTTGTGTTTGGTGTTCCCGTCCTTGTATGTGGTCTGCCATCCTCATGTTTGGTGTGTCCGTCCGCTGTCTTTGTATGTGGTGTGCCCGCCCGCTGTCCGTATATGTGGTGTGCCCGCCCGCCTTCTGATCCATGTATGTGGTGTGCCCGATATTGTATTTGGTGTGCCCCGCTGGCCTTGTGTTTGGTGTGCCTGTACCCTGTCCTTGTGTTTGGTGTGCCTGTCCCCTGTCCCTGTGTTTGAGTGTGCCCGCCCGCTGTCCTTGTATGTGGTGTGCCCGCCCTCCAGCTCGTTGTCCTTGTATTTGGTGTGTCCGCCCGCCTTCTGATCCATGTATGTGGTGTGCCCGAGATTGTATTAGGTGTGCCCCGCTGGCCTTGTATTTGGAGTGTCCGTCCATATATGTGGTGTGCCCGCCCGCTGTCCTTGTATTTGGTGTTTCAGCCTCCTGTCCTTGTATTTGGTGTCTGCCCGCCCTCTGTCCTTGTATGTTGTGTGCACGTCTGCTGTCCTTGTATGTGGTGTACCCGTCTGCTGTCTTTGTATTGGGTGTGTCCACCCGCTGTCATTGTATGTGTTGTGCCCGCCCGCTGTCCTTATATTGGGTGTGTCCACCCGCCCTCTGTCCATGTATGTGTTGTGCCCGACCTCTGTCCTTGTATGTGGTGTGCCCATCTGCTGTTCTTGTGTTTTGTTTGCCCATCTGCTGTCCTTGTGTTTGATGTGCCCTTCCTCTGTCCTTGTATGTGGTGTGCCCACCCGCTGTCCTTGTGTTTGGTGTGCCCATCCGCTGTCCTTGTGTTTGATGTGCCCATCTGCTGTACTTGTGTTTGGTGTCCCATCTGCTGTCTTTTTGTTTGATGTGCCCTTCCTCTGTCCTTGTATGTGGAGTGCCCGCCCGCTGTCCTTGTGTTTGGTGTGCCCATCCGCTGTCCTTGTGTTTGGTGTGCCCATCTGCTGTACTTGTGTTTGGTGTGCCCATCTGCTGTCCTTGTGTTTGATGTGCCCTTCCTCTGTCCTTGTATGTGGTGTGCCCACCCGCTGTCCTTGTGTTTGGTGTGCCCGTCTGCAGTCTTTGTGTTTGGTGTGCCCATCTGCTGTCCTTGTGTTTGGTGTGCCCATCTGCTGTCCTTGTGTTTGGTGTGCCGACCCGCTGTCCTTGTGTTTGGTGTGCCCGTCTGCAGTCCTTGTGTTTGGTATGCTCGATCTGCCTGTCCGTGTATTTGGTTGTCTTTACCCTTATACCTGTTTGTTTGCTTCCCCGCCGTTTGTTCCTGCGAGTTTTCTTTTAATAATATACTCAATATACACTCTCCAAAAATGTAACGCACAGGTAGATTTTTAGTTAATTTATTTTACCTAATAAATTCGATATATTTAATTTCAATATCATAGATACAAATATGAAATTTTGGAGCTCGATAGTCACATGTTATCGTTGTACAAAGGTATTGAATACTGTTCATTGTCACACAAGGCCAGAAGGCCGCGCTGAACTCAGTATCACGTGTGACCGCCCAGGGCAGCAATCACGGCTCTGCATCTCCTCGGCACTGACTGGATAAGTGTACGAATTCTGTCCTGCGGAATTCTGCCATTCTGCTTGTAACGCGTTGGCCAGTTGTGAGATTGTCTGCGGCGTGTTCTGACGTTGAAGTACACGTCGATCGAGTTTATCCCAGAGGTGTTCGATTTGGTTGAGATCTGGAAATCTCGACGGCCAGGGCAAGTCGTTGATGTTGACATTATGAAGGTAATATACCGTGACACGAACTGTGTGCAGTGGAGCGTTGTCCTGTTGAAACAGCTCCCTATGGCGGTCAATGATTGGAAGAAGGTGAGGTTGAAGAATTTGATTCATGTAGCGATTTGCTGTCAAATTTCCCTGAACCACAACCAATAACACTAACGCCACCGAATTCATGTACAATGTATGCAACAAAATGCTCATTTCGACGACGATAAACACGCTGTCTTCTATCTCGCCGGTGAAGAAGAAATCGTAATTCATCGCTAAACCACACCCGTCTCCAGTTTCTCAAATACCAAGGCTGTAAGGGATTGCACCAACGCAAACGTCGCTGTCGATGGATCAGTTGCAAACCAGGGACGATAACTGGTCTTCTGGGTCGGATTCCAGCCTCGCGAAGATGGTTCCTGACAGTCTGGTCCGATATCCTCCTCAAACCAGGGATGCGTCCTGCAGTCTCCGTCGCTGTGACATTGCGATCGAGTAGGTGGAACAGTCGAATGTAGCGATCCTGTGCAGGGGTGGTAACTCTTGGTCGACCTGTTTTCGGACCGTCTGCATTGGAATTGAACTGTGTGTATCGGTCCCAAAGGCGGCAAATGGTGCTGTGGTGGACGTTGAAGTGGCGTGCAACAGAAGATTGCTATTTCCCTCTTTGAATACCTCCTATGGCGATGTTCCGATCGGCAGCTCTGAGTCTCAGCATTTTCGAACTTGTTGACAATTGAATGACAAATTATTGGCTTATGCTTGCCTTGTTTTTGCCACTACCACGAGTTACGAATGCCATAATTATAACTTGCACGTTTATTTTGCTTTACTGTTTTCCTCCATGACATTTTTGGACAAGTGTGGAAATAATGCCGTTTAAGACAATCGACAATGGCTGCGTTTTCACGTACCGTTTGTCGAATATCAGGCCAACGACATTTTCCAATAACATATATCCAATTAATATACCTGATTTTTGGGGCAGTTAGGTTTAATGAACTACATACTACCTGTCCGTTTCCTTTTTTGAAGAGTGTACTAGTATATATATGCGTTTCATTTAATTAACTGAGGCATAAACCTACAAACTTTAAGAAATATAGAACAATTGCTCGGTTTTTCCATTGCTCTTTGGCGAACAAACCAATAAAAAAAAGGGCTTATTAATTTGAAGACAAATATAGAATATAAACTGCATCGATAATTTTGATATCAATCTATAGCTATGTATGCTCATATATATATAACTCATATGTAAAATGATACTATTAAAGGTTGACCTTGAAAATCACGAAGGACATGTATTGTTTGAGGCTGTTTTCCCATAGCAAATATACCCAAGTCGTTCCTGAGCACTGTGGAGTAATATTGGTCAGTTGGGCGAGCCATACACCTTCCAACACAATGTTATTAATCGCTTTGTCTCCAGGCCCAAATTCCTTTGAGATTTAATTAATTTTCTAGCAAGACCAATAGCTGTTTTCCCAGGAACCGATATCTGTCGGGTCCCTGTGGTGTTCGGTATTGGGGCAACGCGGGACGGGAAATACTACCAAATAATTTCCTTTCTGTTCATAGACTTTGAGGGGGGCCGGACAATCTAGCAGATTTCGTACAGTTTGCTATTTTTGTAGATTGGAATACTATTGCGGGAATAAATCGCAGCCCATGTGTCTCTGTTTTGGCGTCCGCCGAGAATAGGGCGTTGTGGGATTCGAACCTTGTCAGTCGCGCCTTCTGTCGGCTGCATTAATAAGACGCAAGACAAATACTACATTTGTCCAGGTTATCGTCATGTAATTAGCAGTTAACATCTTGTAACAAGTCGATTTGATTTGTAAAACTGTCAGAATTATTCAGCCACAAAACGTCAAAAGGGTCTAAATATATAATACCAAAGACTGAACTAACAATAGTCAGTAATTATTATTTACATATAAAAATAGAAAATGCAGCAAAGAGGGTTTGGGTGATCCTGGCACAGTCAGGCTGGTTAGGCTCATCATCAGTTCAGGGCCCTTGCCCCCTCTACACGCAGCCCAGACTTCTCCCAGGAAGCGCTGCCTAGTCAAACCCACCCATGACTCCCCAACACTGCAACCTTCTGCATTACCCAGATTGTGAGAAGGGCTGTATTCCTGGTAACAAACCCGGGTACTCAAATCAAATCAAATTAAAAGTAGTTTATTGTACAAAAGCCCTCCGGCCCATATACAAGAGAGAGTTACGCATGTAGATACAATTATATATGTTATACATTGGGACATACACGTTGTTTGATTAAATCATTTCTTTTGGCCAATGCATGCTTAATATAAAGAGAAATAGTTAATATATTAGATTCGTTCTCTGTCGTCAGCATAACTAGAAAGGCGTTTATCTGTGACATTGCTAGTATTAAATAATCTCTCTCTTAATAATACTCTCCAAATGCCAGTCAACAGATTGGGAGGTACCAAACCTAAGGCACCGAGAACAATGGGAAGTTAGACAACTTGGTACTTGTGATGCAAGAGTGACATTTCGAAAGCGAGGTCTGCATATTTGCCATGCTTTTCATCAATCTTGTCAATCATATAACTGTCAAAAGGGACAGAAAATTCAATGATTTCATTGGATTTATTAAAAAGGACAATATGAGGTTTGTTTGCCTGGATATGTCTGAGGCTGTAAAGGATTTTGTATTTATCATTTTCCATGACGCCCTCTACATATTTCGGATCGTACCATGGATGGACCTCTGTGTCAAAACCACAAGCATTGCGAAGACGGTAATAAAATGATCGAGCCACCCCATCATGTCGCTTAAGATACTGTGTCTGTGCCAAAGCTTGGGATCCACTCGCAATATGTTGGACAGTCTCATTAAATTCATTACATAATCTACATTTCATATTCACATTTTGATGCAAAATCACACATTGGCGGTTTCGAGTTGGAAGTGACTGGTCCTGAGCAGCAAACAGAAAGCCTTCAGTCTCACTTTTCAGGCCAGCCGACTTCATCCAAGCGAAGGACTCTGTAGGATTATTATTATATAAATAAATAAATGCAGAAAAGAGGGTTTGGGTGGTCCTGGTACAGTCAGGGTGGTTAGGCTCATCATCACCTCGAGATTGGGAACAATGAAGAGTCTGACATCTTGGTACTTGGGAAGCAAGCGTGCGTTTCGAAAGCGAGGTCAGCAAATTTGCCATGTTTTTTCCTGAATCTTGTCAAACACATAAATGTCAAAAGGGACAAAACATCTAATGATATAAAATACTTCAGGGATTTATAAAAAAACCACAAGATCAGGTTCCCAATGTACTGATTCAGATTAAAATAATCAACAGTGAGGCCGGCGCTAGTGACACCATCCAGCAATTAATAGCAACATACTGCGCTACCATATATGTCATGCTGTATAAGAAGTGGTTGCCACATTGTTGCTTGGGTGAGTGGGCGTTTTGGTGATCAAACTAAATATAACACACTAAGAATCCAACTGTACATATAAATAGATTATATACGTTGGTGAGCAAATAAACAGGACATATACACCGAAGAGCTAAACCTTAAGCAAATAAAGAGAGAATATACTACATCTGCA